CACGCTGAGCTGACAGTAACCTGTTCTGTGGTCATGTCTCTTTATTACCACTGTTGGCATTAGTGTTCCCCAAGCTTTGCACAGAGGAATACAGAAACGAAGGTACTAACTACAAAGAAGTCGAGCCATCAAAAAAGGCAATTAATCATACAGATGAGCCCGACACTATGATGTAAGAGAAGATGCGGAACCCGCTCTAAGTAAAAGGCTTTTTAAACTTGTTCATTCGATGTAAGCATGACCTTAAAATTTAATTAGCCACTCTCCCCACAGGTGATGAACTGGTAAAGTACTTTTCTTCTTAATGACAATTTATTTTTCACCATTCTTCTTTGCATTACTCTTTTGCCTGGCTTGCATAATTCCTTCTTAATTGTATGGGATTGACTGCAGTGTGTATGCAAATAGCTACTGAAATCCAGAGGAGCCTGGAAACTAAAAGCAAGACACACTCACTACCCTGTTGATCTGAACATTGTAACTGCCTCTAACTAAGCTCTCTGATCTCCCTCAGTTCTTCAAGCCACCAGGGCTTTTAGAGCTCTCTTCATGCTGTGCCAGACCCCACCATTCTTAAGAATGCCAAGAGCAAAGTGGATTCAATCGAGCAAATCGATTCAAGTTCATAATTGAGAAGTCAGACATGCAAGACACACTAATCATCAAAGAACTCCATGTCTCCTGAGGAGAGAGGGGTCCTTCCTCTTGGAAGACTCCTGGGAGAATCTGGACTCTGTCTTCTCACACCAAGGTATCAGCCCTCCCTCTGACCTTCCTCCCTCTTAGTGTTAAGAGGTTACTAAAAAATAAATTTTCCTGGAAACAGGCAGGCAATCCAGATTCTAATGAAACTATCAGTGTATAAAGTATGTTTGCTTTCAGAGATGGAATAAAATGACCATCCTGTATCAACACCATAAACATGACTGACTGAATGAATGAATGAATGAATGAGTGAGTGAATGAATGACCAAATGGCTCAGAAACACTTGTAAAATGTTTGAATGACTGTGGATTTCTTCAAAATAAAAGAAGCACAACTAGATACTAAAATAACTCTTAGGGGTATCATGCTGTAGTTGCTGGGTAATAAGACCTTATTTATTCCCTTTTGGTCAAATTTTCCCAGAAAGTGCCAAGTCCTGGGGAGAAAATTATGCATTTTGGAGGCTTCTCACTTTCAGGTTATGAGATAGTATCAATCAAATTGTAATATCAGAACCTAAAAAGTTGTCTTGGAAGCCAGAAAGAGCTAACTTAACGCCCAAAGAACTAACAAAACAATCAGCAGGGTTTAATGTCTTAAATGCAGATAGTAAAGATAGTGCTGGATAATGGCTAAAAGCTCAGGTGTTGGATCTGGCTCAAGCCCAGATCAGGTTTTGGTTGTGTGTTCTTGGGCAAATTACTTTAAGCCTTAGGCTTTTCATCTAAACAGGCCTGACAGCCTCATAGGGTTGTGAGGATAAAACAAAATAATCCACATAAAGAGCCTATCACAACAAAAATGCTCAATAAACATAACTGTCATGAGGCTAGAAACATCAAGATATTCAAAGTCAAGCTTCTCTCAGGGATAGGTTTAAACCCTTGATTGGAATGATCAGCGAAGGCTAAACATTTTGTGGATATTTAAAAATCATTCACTCACTGCTTAGATATAACTTTAAGGTAGAAGTTAATTAATCTAGGATTCATTCAATGAACTCCTACTCTATGAGTTCTGGAAAATACAGAAATGAAAAAGGGACCTTTGCTCTAAAGGGGTTTAGAACATAAGCACAGATAGTTAGTGATGATTATCATAAATAATATGCAGCATTATAAGGAGAGGCATTAGTGAGAATTCCCTGAGGACTATGGGAAGAGTTCTTAAAAACATTAGAACCTGAAAGCTGCCCCAGGCTTCCTCTCATCAAATCACCAGCCAGGAATTAATACTCTCCAAGTTCCTTCCATCAACAAGCAGGAATTACTATCCAAGTCTCTTTCAGGAAGGCCACACACCTAAACGTGATACCTTAAAATAGAAACATTTATTTCACACCTATGTCAAGGTTGATAAGCTGGCGACATTTATAGTGAAATAAGGACCTGAAAGGCATTTCAAATGGCTCTGACCTTTCTCAGTAAATAGTGTTGCTTTGGAATAGTGATTCTAGGAAGGGTGAAACTGGTGTCTGGTTAAACTATACTCATTACTCCTCAAGAGTGAGTGAAAGCCAAAAATTATCTCAGCTTCCTGAAAAACTAGCCAAGATAAATACCTGGGAAGAAGATAGTCCACTCACATATGGAAATACCTGATAGTTTACTGAAACAGGCCCAAGAGGGAGACCAAAATGTAGTATAGAACCGAATGTGCTATACTAACATGGTGGACCTCAACATCTGAACAGAAATTTGCATCAAGTCAAAGAAAACGCATAGTTCAAGTAATACGATTATAAGTCACCAATGAGTGATCATACAATTTCCGTCTTTTTGTTATTCTAGTTGATGGACAGATGACAGTGAGGGTGAGGTCATCTTAGAGATTACTCTTGGAATGATTCTGTAAAAGACTCCTTGATGTCCCCTTTCTATTCATGAAATACCACCAGGTATCTAGTTTATGGTTTCGTCATTTCATTTGGTTAAAAGAGAGAAAGATTACGTGTCTATTTTTTTTTTTAAGATTTATTTTTTTTATTTATACAAGGACTAGGGTACAGTCCAGAGGTGTGGGAGGGTGAGAGGATTCACCAGAGACAGAGTGGGGTGCAGAAAAGGCAGATGGACTGAAGACACTGCTGAGGGTAGCAGTGGGCGAGACAGGAGAGGTCTGCCACGCCATGTGGGTATCTCCCTGGCCAGCCAGGAATCAAACCCATGCTGCAGAGGCTGCAGACAGCTTCATAGCGCTGCACTCAACCCTCTGAGCCACTGGAGAGGCCCTATACCAACTTTTGAACCACAGATAATGTGGATTTCATAGCACCTCAGATGATTCTGCAAAGTATCACGTTATAATCATTCTTTTTCTTACATTATGCTATTCGATATAGCACTTTTACATCTTCTAACACAGTGTAGAGAAGTCCTAATAGATATGGCCCGATGCTTTCACTGTCATCACAATATAAGAGGAACCCTTTTTTACAATCTTTTACATTAAATCCAGAAAATGCTTCAACATTAGAGAACTAAATGTCTCACAGATGTTCTTAGATGAACTCTGATTGGACAAAATACAATTTAGACACTTCAGAAAGGGCAGTATAAACAGAACCAAGACTTTACAGAAATGAGCAGAAGATACCAGGAAGTTAGGTAATACTATTTTTAAGAAAATCAGATCTTGTACGTAGGGGAAGTAAGTAGCTATTCTTTATGGACAGACGCTTCCATTTCTTAAGCTCTTGCAGTTTTTCAAGGGGTTTTTAAATACATCATGTTATCTGGTTCCCCCTAATAATTCAGAAAGGTAAGCAAGGAACTGGGCATTATCCCTACTTTATAAAGACCCAGAAACCTTAAGAGATTAGGTTGATGAAAGAACCAGATGACAAGGTCATGAAATATGGGGTGGCATGCCTTTTCAGGTTAGTGTTTTTGTTTTCTTTGGAAAAATATATGGTATATGTTTTTAATTTTTTTTGTGGAAACACCACACTGTTCTCCATACTGGCTACACCTGCTGACGCTCACCAATAGTGCACAAGGTTTCCCTTTTCTCTAGTTACTTGCCCAAATTTATTATTTCTTCTTTTGTTTTCTTTCCCTCCATAACAGCCATTCTGGCAGGTGTGGGTTTTGTTCATTTTCTTCACTCGTCTATCCCTGCACTAAACCAGGGCCTAATGATATTGTGGTCAAGCAGAAATAGGCTGAACAAATGAGCAAAAGGTGCTAATATCTACAAGCCCCCAGTTCAGTGAAATCTAGAGATGGGGCAACACATTAACACCTAAATAACTACACTAAATGGGGCTTAATAGTTTATTTCTTATTTTACCTACTTTCTTACTGAGCATCCTATTCTAAACAAATCAAATTGAGGAGGTTCTCAGTCAAAGGGAAGAGAAAGCTTTGTAACCTCATGGCTGATGTATGAAATTATTCCACGCAAATTTACTTTATAGAACAGTGGCACTGAGCAGGTGTTCAAATGCCCCTTCTTAAGCCTCCTTTTATGTCAATTTTCTCCCCTGTATCTCTGTCAAATTAAATTCTAGGTGCAAGGTGACCAGAGGTACTGCCCCTTGTCTTCTCACTAATCCTTCTTAAGACCTCCTTTTCACTGTCTACTCTCAAGAGTCCATTTTTAGGGGCCTCCCTGGTGGAACAGGGGTTAAATCTTAGTGCTATCAACCTATCGCCAGCCACTGTGGCATGAGTTAGAATCCCGGCCAGGGAGCTGACCCACATGGCACAGCAGACCTCTCCTGTCTCATCTGTTGCTCCCCTCAGCAGTGTATTTCAGTAGATCTGCCTGTTCTGCTCCCCACTCTGTCTCTGGTGAATCCTCTCACACATATAACCATCCCTGCACCTCTGGTCTGCACCCCAGTTCTTGTACTCCTAAGAAAATACAATAAATCTTTTTTAAAAAAGAGTATATTTTTAGCTACAAAGCAATGAAAGTGTGTTCACAAGGTTAATGTGGTCTTTAAAACAATACTATTCCTGCCAACATGGTCAAGTTTAGTCACTGCTGGGGAGAATTAAGAGGAGCATGCCACTGTTTAATCTGGAGGCAATGAAGTTTCAAAACACATCAGGAAACTATTTGGGGAGAACTGAGTAGTAAAGTGCCCCCAATGAACCAAGAACACAATCATACCCAAACCTATCAAAGTAGAAGGAACAGAGAACAATCTACCGATGTGGTGGCTATACTTCCTGGCCACTTTTTAACTAGGAAAAACAGTCACAGTTCTAAAGTATTGGTTTTTAAAATAAATATCTGGGGAAACTGCAGATGTGGTAAGAGAATCAATGATAAGAAACAGTCATACCCGTTCCTCCAGTCTAGCCAGCTGCTCTTTGTAGAATGCATCCTGCTTCTTGATCACCCGATCCTTCTCTTCCAGCTGCCTAGCCTAAAAAAAGAAATAACAACATACTATATCAAGAAAAAGCAGCAACAGCAAAGCAAAAGTCAAGCATAAGTTGCATTAGAAACAAGTATACAAAGTGGAAGATTTTTGCCATCTATTAGGTCTCTGCCACAGAAAAGCATTAATAAGATGATGATTGCTGTATTTAAATGTAAAGAATGAGTCTACATTGTATTTTTTTTAATTTACTGTAACAGCTGTGTCCTACTTTGTCCAAACTTACTGGGAAATGTCAGAATACAGTACACAGTTTAATTTCACTTCTCTTTTGAAAAGTAATTTCAAGGATTAATATTTTGCACAGTAAAACTTTGACTTTATTCTGGGTATAAGATAAGGTCTTTCCTTCTTGAATGACACAAAAAAGCCTATATAACTTTTTAGACATAAACCTTGTATTTTGAGAACCCTAGAATCACAAAACCAGCATAAAAATTTATGCATCATTCCACCTTTTATAATGAGGTAACTGTCTTTGGAGGGAATGGGCAAAAACTACCATACCTGTGCGTTTGAATAATTAAGATAATAATAATAATGAAAATAATAAAGGTAGTTTTAAAGCACTCATGTATCCCACTTCTAATTTATGAGATATTTTTTACAAAATTAAATTCAGGTAAAACATTTTTGATTTTTTTTTAAAAGCTTTTACTTATTTATTTATACACGCACTGGGTATAGTCAGAAGCGCGGGAGGGTGAGAGAATTCACCAGAGTGGGAAACAGAACAGGCAGACTGATGATACCTGCTGAAGGGAGCAGCAGGCGGCAGGAGAGACCTGCGCGCCATGTGGGACCCTCGCAGGTGGCCGAAGATCAAATTGGTGCTGCAGAGCCTGCGGGCAGCTTCGCAGCCCAGTGCTCAACCGCTGCGCCACCGGGGAGGCCCACATTTTTGATTCTTGAAAAAATAATTTTAAGATGGTTACATATGTTTTTCAAGATTAGTTAAAAAAAAAAAAAAGCATCTCCCAAACTGGTGTTTGTATCCTGACCATTGTGCTTAAGTGACCTTTATCTCCAAAGGAATAGACTAGCACCCATCACCCCATGTTAGAAAAAGTTTTCATGTATTTTTATTCAGTGCATGTTGAATATATACCAGACTAGAAATTTTAAGATATGAAGCAAGGATATATATTTTAGCCTGCCCATCCTCGTGCCAGACATACTACATATTTCTTTAAAAGGTGATCAAGTGTTGCCTGGCTCACCCCAGGTAAGGGGACTGTCCACCTGGTCACCTTTTTATGTGAACCCATTTGCACAATTACAGGTTGTTATTTTGCTACTCACTTTGACTTCCATGTCCTGCAGCATGTTGAAAACAAACAAACAATTATTTAACAATGTAAGTACCATTTTCTCTTAATGTCACAGAGAAATCTGATGGATAAATATCTATATAAAATGGAAAGTGAAAGCAGCAAAGTAAAAAAAAAGAGAACTTGCTTAATTTGAGACACAGTTAAATGTCACTGTGCGGTTATAGTTTGAACAGAAGATTTCAGTGAAAAGTTCATGCTTCTTTAAAGCATGTGAATAAATAAAAACAAATACAATATTAAGATCAGTAAAAAATGAATTCAGCTGCAAGTACACAGTCTATGGTTTGTGACATGACACAGTAAAAACCGCAATAGTCTATGAGGAATATAAAAGAAAAAATAGAGAACGAATTTTGACAAAGCTGTAATGTGAAAAGATGCATGATTATATGAGCTAACAATAAAAGATCTTTTTAAATTTATACATGACCCAAACCATAAATAAAGGAGAAGAATAGACTTGTGAGAACCTCCATAAATTAAATACATTATTAAATCAAATTAATAAGTAAGTGAATAAGCAAAGCAAGAGAAATTTCAGCAATGTGTCCATCAATGTGGTTAACATATAGAACATTTGAAATATAAGCTCCCTTCTTCCAAAAAAGAATCAAAGGAAAAATACACAAATGACAAAAATAACACAAGAAAAATTCAACCGCTTAAGAAATCAAAGAATAAAAATGAAGTTCCATTATTTGCCTATCAAACCGACAAAAATATAAAATGATAATATCGGCAAGGTAAGAAAAAACAAGTTCTTCTATACACTGGTGGTCAGAAAGTAAACGGCTACATCTATCCCTTAAAATCAACTTGACAAAATGTAACACCTTAAAAATGCTCTGAGATCTAAATACTCCTCTTTTAGGATTTAAGTAATTTATCTTGTTTGGATTTATTTGGGTTGTTTGCTATTTCCAAATTTCTATAATAGAAAATTATTACTTCTGTAATCAGAAAAATATTTTGGCAATTATGGCAAAATGCAAAGATGGTCACAACAAGGCTGCTTAGAATTGCAAAGAAAGAAAAACCAATCTAATGACTAACTAAAAATATAGTCAACATATTTTAAAGAAGAAAAGACCATAAGCAGAAGGGTCAGAATTTTCTCTTTCCTTGTAGAGAGGGAAAAAAAAGACGAAAAGGCTATTCAACAAAATGTCAACAGAAGTTATGCCAGGGTAGAAAGCATGTGGGTAGTTTCTGATTCCTTTTGTTTCCTTATATATTCCAAATTAAAAACATACATACTTTGTAGTCAGTCAAGGGACAAAGGAGTAAATTTTTCGGGGTGAAGAAACTATTCTGCTGCCAGATTATGGTGGTGGCTACACAATGGGATACATTTGCCAAAACTCATAGAACTACATATCACAAAGAATGAAATTAATTAAATTTGTAAGTGAATATAAAGCACATGGAAGTAACTACATATAAAGATATGAACATATGCGTGTATCTATCTTCATTCTTGTTAATATGCTCATCACTTGGACAATTTTACTTCCAGGTACTTAATTCTAGGAAATATTGAGAAACACAGCCAGAACTATTTAAAGTAACAACAACAAAGACAGCAAAAAAGTGGTTTGTGAAAATGAGCAGTGACAGAAGACTAAAGATTTTAGTCTCATCATAATGATTAAATATTAAAAGCCATGGAAAAACACTAATTTAATAGAGTAAGATTTTAAAAACTGAATATACAAGGCAGGGGAAAAAACAGGTCATAGAATAGCATCGATAGTAAGTTCCTAATTCTGTTTAAGAAATTTGGGGGAGGGGAAACAGAACAGAGAAACCGGAGCGGTTGAGAGCCTGGCCATATACACACGGAAAATGTGCCAAGGACACTAAGAGTACAGTGGATAACAGCCTAGTGGGCTTTTTTTTTTTGGACTGTACTTATTTCCCATTTTTCTACAATGAATAGCTATTACTCCTATAATCAGAAAAATATTTTCAAACATTAATATCACATACATTTATCCTTGACTAAAAGAAGAAAACATAACAAAATACAAAAGCTAAAAGAGTGAAGTAGTGAAACTATAATAGGAACCAAAAAATTGTTTTAACAAATTGAACAGTTATTTATAGCATGGAAATTATTTTACCTACTAAATCCTTAATGTATTAGCACTTGATTTTCTCTTCTATTCAATGTCTGAGATTTCCCACCATGGTTCTTAAAACATTTGCACTGAATAATGTTTCTTTTGTTCACATGTAATTGCACAGTAAGATTTTTTTTTTTAATGCAAAGAAAATGTAATGGATATTCTATTAAGGCTATTTAGGAAACAATGAGAGAATTCAATATTACAAATATATTTTTTGAGCCTACTGAGGACACTATTTTGAGTAGTTGATGATAAACTGAAGGCAGGCAGAGATATCCTTATTCATTTTTCTAAGGCACAATCCTTGAAAACTTTGACAGCAACACACCCAAAGGTCTGATGTGCACACTTGGGAGGGGCGGCTTCCAAAGACTTAAAACAGCCAAGGACAGGCTAACATCACAAATCCTTCGCTAGGCTGCCAAAGAATCAATAGTCTGAGATGCACTGGGGAGACTAACGAAGCAGGAAACATGGCCACGCTCCTTTAATGGCACATTGCTGCGTAACGGTTAATGTGATGCGGGGAGGGAAAGTCACACAATATGAATCCAGAAACTTAAATACGTCTGCAATACACTGACCAAGCTAATAGCTGCCGAGGATGGAGAGTCACACGCAAGTTAAGAAAAGGCAGCGAACAGAGTGCAAGGAAATACAACTTCCTTGTATAACTGATGCAGAATCATTTTAAACGAACAAGTGAAATAAAAAATGATTACAACATTATTTGTTGTGATAGCAGACTCGTTTTTTTTTTGGGGGGGGGGAATGAATATAAAAGGTTTCCCCCCATCTCCTGTTCACTACCCTTCCCTCTCTAGGAAATGTGTACTTTCCAGATCCTGTTAGATATGGATGGAATAGCATGAGTGGACTTGAAAATATGACAGAAGGTGCTTCAATGGATCATACTGAAAAACTAGAACATCCCATATGCAAGAGAAACAAAGAAAATAAGGAAATCAAGTTTCTTTAAGAAATCCAACAAATACTTTGATTCCTCCCCACCTTGACATTTCAATGTTTTAACTCAGTGTTGGTGGCTAGATTGAAAATGAAATATATATCCATTTAATTCCTTAAAGACTGGCTTCTTTTCAGAAGGGACTTGAAGGTAAGACAAGAGATATTAATAAGGTTGACAGGAGAGAAAACTGGGATCATGGATATGGCACCTGGTGCAGGTAGAAACTTTACCTTCTCGCCTATGTTCCTAGGCAAATGTTCATAGCAAACAAAACCTCTTGGCATGGTAGCTCAATCTTCTTTGGCCTGGTTGCTTCTGGGGACTGAGGTCTGGCCTAGGGCACATGGCCTTCAGAACTGAGTGACATCACAATCACTTAGCTCGGAGACGATGTCATTACTTTATGCTTTCGGGCAGTACAGGCATGCTAAAGAAAGATTCTGTACTGTGGGAAAGCTTGTACATCTTAAATGACAAAGTTCCTTGAAAAGACAGTGCTGAATTCTAGTAACTCAAGGTAGAAAACAAAGCAGGAACCCGCTCTGTTTTCCA